TTCTCCAAACATTACTATCTTCAAACATTAATATCTTCGGTATTTTAAGTGAAGAAATAAAACATTTTTCTTCATTTTGTCCACACATATTTAGAAAGTATGTTCATTGTTTTTATTTATTTATTTACATTATTCTAATTCAGACCAACATCCTCATCTTTGTTGCTATCACAGCGTCTTGACCGTGTATTCTATGCTTTCTTTAGTTGTATGTTGGTATGGGTAACTTTCAGGAAATTTCAAATGCAGTTCTTTATGCATAGGTATTAGATTGTTCTCGTTTTGCCATTCATGTCTACGAATATGTCATCTTGTCCTTATTTGGTACCAGTCAGTTATTGTCCACACTGTTTCCATTGAATCTGAGTCTGTACTGGATTGAACTTACAATTACTATGTCAATAATATTATCCACTCAGCGAGACAATCCTGAACCTAGAACGTAGTGTCTTAAATATAATTCACTTCTTCCTTGCCTGTTGCTGACACCGCTGCTGCTAACACTGCTGCTGCTGACATGGCTGTTGCTAACACTGCTGCTGTTGGCACAGCTGCTGCTAACACTGGTGCAGCTGATACTGTTGCTGCTGTCGATAATGCTGTTACGCTTGAACTCATTTGCCACCACTTCTCTTTTATTACCGTTGCCGCTGCTCATTTTCTTTCTTTATTTATGGTTCATAGGTGGCGTTTATTTTTATGCTTGGCCTACTGAGGAGAGCCTCATAGTCTAATCTAGATTAAATGAAGGCTTCAGTTCGAAAATTCCCGAATGATCGACACCTGAAGGAGGTTGGCAAGCAAAACATTGTGATAATAAACATCAAAGACGATTATTCTCAATGTTAATTACTTACATTTTTCATCTCAGAAATTCAGGCAGAAATGTTTATTTTTTAGCACAATATTTCGGCCGACATATCCAAACTTCTTTAGTTGTTTATTGTAGGAATTTTATTGTGTCAATTTTCAGTTACATTATATCAAGGCCGTTAAATCTAGTCAAATGTTTCTTTAGAATCATTTTTTGAGAGTGTGTTATTCATGTTGATTGAAGTTAAACATTTACATGCTTTATAAGGTCTATCTTAGTTAATAATATGGTTAATATTTATGTAATGTTTTTCTTTCAATTTAGTGCCTTTTATAACATAGACTACAGGCCCCGCACTAGCTTAATATGACCCTGTTAGAAAGACTGAAGAAAATGTCTAACGAAATATACTGTCTACAAAAATAAACACAGTTTAAAAATATATGGAATAACTAATATAGGTACCTACATGACATCGCTTGAAAATGAGCATAGCAGGATACTAACGGCCTTAAACTTGATGAAAATATTTTTTTATCGTTTAAATGTTTATGTTATTATCAAGAGGAAAGATCAAAATATTTTTTTATTATTTTTTTACATTTTTTAATAATTTCTAGCACGTCCAAAGTTTTCGTTAAAAATCTTGTATTTTTATGATCAGCAAAATTGACAGAAAATCGATCGTCAGCGATTTTTTAACTTTTGTTTACAAAAGTGAAAGTCTCCGTTTAAAATTCGTTTAAAAAATCAATTATAATTTTTTAAAAAATTAATTTAAGAAAATTAGAAATTATAAAGTTTATTTAATGTATCTTGAAACAAGAGGTGTTGATTGACAAGTGACATGCACGTGATTTCATCTTACGAGAGGAAAAGTTATAGTACGGAAGGTCACAAGTGACAGTTTAACTTTATGTAAACAACTTATTTACCTCGTTATTTTTAAGTAGGTATAGCATGATAAAAACGGCCTTAAACTTGACGAAAACAGAATTGTATCGTCAAAATGTTTATGTTACTACCAACGCAAACCACATGACGGACTATTGTTTTCATGATGCTTCCGGTCTTCCGTATATTTGAATTTAAGCTATTCTTGGACACGCACACACACACACACACACACACACACACACAAAAAAAAAAAACAAAACCAAAAAAAAACAGCTTATATTAGATTTTTAGCTATTGGCAACTTGCTGATTGTAACCAGCTTTATTTTATAATCTGTAAATGATATTTATCTATTTAATAACATCAGTGACTAAACTGTACAACATTTTCATTAATTTTAGGATGTTTAACAACCTTAATGTAAAAAAATATAATAATTTAAGAAATAACAAATAATTGTTGTAAAAGTTTATTTTTCATCGAAAACGATTTTTGCTTTCAGAAAATATTATCCGTATTCATACAAACAAGTAAAAGCAACTAAAAGCTTTTGAAATTAAATAATATCTTTGTTTTATTGAGTTTTGTATGTTACAATTCAGCGCTGATTTTAAGGTAGAAGGGTGTCAACTAAAAAAAATGATTTGCTTTCCTCGAAGCCTTGTGCCTTTAACTAATTAATCACTAAATCTGTACAAATTAGAATTTCATGAGTTTTCATAAAATTAATTATGGGGGGGGGGTAAAAATATAAAAAGAAAATTTTTTTCCATGACTTAAAAAAAAATGAATATATTTATAATAATTTCCATCATTTGTGAATAGTTTCTGAAAGTTTCATTAAAATCCGACAATTATTTTTATTTTTGTAAGATTTTCAAAATTAATCACTGCCATTAAAAAAAAAATCCGTAAAAATCCGCCATGTTATTTAGTAAGACATTCACTGATGATGAGAAACGATGTTTTTCAATCAAAAGTTAGAATGCTTTAATAAAGACAGAAAAAATTTGAAAAATAATTAAGAATTACTTTGCTCTTTCCTCTTAATAAAAACATAAACATTTTGACGATAAAAGTTTAAGGCCGTTATTATCCTGCTATGCTCATTTTCAAGCGATCTCATGTCGGTACCTAAACTAATATATGTATTGCCACTAATTCCCTGAAAAAAGAGCATACCATGATGAAAAATGCGCCAAACGATAAAAACAAAGTTTTATCGTCAAAACTTTTGTTATGATTAAGAGGAAAGACCAAAGTATTTTTTGATTAATTGTTTGATTTTTTTTTTAATCTTTTCTCTCATGTTCGAAATTTTGGTTAAAAATCTTTTTTTTTTCTTGCGTCATCAGGTTAATAAAGATTAGTTAATGATTAGTATAGAAAACTTTAGCGTCTTTTTTGCGGTAAAAAATACATTGATTTGAAATTCTTGCAAAAATCATATAATTATTGGATTTTAATTAAATTTTCAGGACTTATTCACAAATGATTGAAATTATTTTACATTTTTTTTAGAAAATCGTGGTAAAAATAATTTGTTACCGAAGGGGAGGGTTAACAAAATATTTTTACCAAGATTTTCTAAAAAATAAATTAATTACTATTATGAAATTTGGAGAAATTAAATTTCACCCCCTTAATATTAATATTAGGGAAAAGCAAAAATCCTTGAAGAATTTAAATCATTTTCTTTTGTAAAATAGAAACGCTATTTACTGAAAATCTGCTCTGAATAGTAAAATAAAAGTGCAGTAAAACTATGACAGTATTTAATGAGAAAAGCATAAAGCATTTATGAATAAAAGCATAAAGGCATAAAGCATAAAACTTAAAAGCATAAAGCATTTATAAATAAGATATATTAAGATACTATTGTCTTAAGAAAAAAATTCGATGAATAATGAATAACAAGACTTGTTTTCATTTTTAAATTTTTAATTATAATAGTTTATAAAGTTTAAAATTTTTTAAAATTCTGTATTAATTTAACCCTTTTAGATGATATTATTACTGAGTAAAAACTATATTTATTAAACATAAATAGAAATATATAATACAAATCACCAAACATCAATATTCTTAGAATTTTCAATATTTTTATATGGGAATCCTGATTTTTGTAGATATGCTTCTTCCTTATTATCAGAAAATAAAGGCTATAACTTTAGTAAATTTAAAGCCAAAGTATCTATACTTCAATAAAACATTAGATTACAGAGAATATTTTCCTAAATTTTTCAGATTACTGAGTAAATAAAAGGTGCTCACATTATAATCTTCAATTATTTTTTACGGATAAAATCTCCATGAAACAACATTAGATAAACATTCATTCTGTCAACACCCAACAACTTTAATAAAAAGCTATCGGCCGTGTTAAAAAATATATATTTCTGCGATATTTAAAACAAAGGAAATAACATCTGTTTCAAATCAGATTAATTATGCTTTAAATCAGCTAATATTTCTTAATTAAAGTTTCAGAAAAGTATATTTTATTTTTGGAAGACCTTTTAATAAGGAGAATTACATTCTGATGACAGGTTGCTAAAAATGGCGCTAAAATAAAAAAAATCAGCAATTTCAAAGTGAAAACTACTTCCCAACAATTTAAATTAGCTTTGAAATATTGCAAAGTATTTTGCTTATTGGCAATATTAAATTTTATCTATTAGTTTGAAATTAAAACTAAAATAAAAACTTCAGGAAAGATTTTTCATTTTTTAAATCTTAGGTATCCCGAATCTAACTAATAACTCTACGTTTTCGATTTTTTTCCCTTGTGTTTCTTCTTGCTAACAGTACAAATTTATGAAAGTGAAATTACATATTTCGTTGATTCGATTAATACACACACACACACACACACACACACACACACACACACACACACACATATATATATATATATATATATATATATATATATATATATATATATATATATATATATATATATATAATTGAAACCTGGATACAAGCAGCCATACTATGTTCTGATTATCAGCTGTCTATACGCTCCAGGTAATGAGCACACTGGATATTTGATCGACTCATCTACACTATATTTATTAATTGTCATTCCTGGGAAGCGTCAATAGGCGAATTTGCATGCTGTTTGACAATTGATAAGGAGATACAAAGCCATTGTTAACACCCCGTAACGGATGTATCAGTGCCCCAACATTGTCTGTTGCCCGGGACATAGTATACGAAATCCGATAGCTCTAGTCTAATTTATCACTGATGAAAAAAAAAATGGAAAAGAAAGGAAAAGAAATACAAAAAGGGATAGATAGGTAGGTAGAGAGAGAGAGAGAGAGAGAGAGAAGAAGAAGAAGAAGAAGAAGAAGAAGAAGAAGAAGAAGAAGAAGAAGAAGAAGAAGAAGAAGATACCGTGTTCTATGGGTAAAAGGAGTAGAAGCCAGTGAGGTTGTGAATGAAAAATCCTTGGCCCTTTTGATAGACTACTCTCTAAAGGATTGGTGTTGAATTTGTAAGCAGAATACATCCTGAAGCACACTGAAAAGGTTAAAAAAAAAGACAAAAAATAAATAAGGTCGAAAGGTTTCATTTAAGCATGAAATACTGACAGATCAACACCAGAAAACAATTGTACGCTCTATGACATTAACAATTGGTAGCCAAGTTTTATTGTGATGTTAGCGAGGCTACCATCTTGCAACGTTGTTGAAAGATGGCAAAGAAAAAGAAGAAAATTAACAAAAAAAGAAGATAAGGAAAAGGAGAGGAAGAGAAAGTAAATAAATGTGACCAAAATGATGTGCTTACACACACACACACACACACACACACACACACACACACACACACACTATGTTTTGTCTTTTAAATTCACAAAAGCGAACAACATTCAACTTATTTCTTTTGTAATTCGTTAAATAGTTGTACATTTTTATTAATGGATCTTTTTTTTTTTTTTTTTGCCATTTCTTTTTACCCAATTGTCCTTTGCCTCTGCAATTTTGCCTCTGGCTAAATTGTGCTGATAAAGTCGAAGTGAATTTTACGAACTCATCGCCTGAATTTGGGAACTATTCCTTAAAAAATAATGTCACATAGCTAGACTGGAAAATTCACAGAGAAAGAGCAAACTGGTTACACCTAAATGGAACAGAGAAATAGGACTGAAAAATGGCCGCTAGTACCCCTTAAATTTTAGCATTTTTTTATATACTTTTCTTTTTTGCCTATAGTTGTTATATTTACTTTAACCCCCTCCCCATAATTTAATTTTGTTTTTTTATTCATATATTTCTTCATTTTCTATGTTTTTTTAAATAATTTTTATTTTATTCCAAATATTTATTCTTTTCTCTTTTTCTCATAGATTTTATCTTTTCCTCTTTTGCGAGTTTATTTTTGGTCGACTTCAAAATCTACACTTTCCTTTTCTTCCTTTCTACATATGGTTTGCACTGTTTTTTTTTTATTTTCTTCATTGTGAATTGTTTTGTTTTCTTTATTTCTTTTCCTTCTCACCTTTCTTCCTCTTCTTGATCATCTTGTCAAATTGGGGCTACAATGACAATTTGTTTTCTTTCTAACCGTCTTTTAAAGCCAGCATTTCGTGAAAGCTTACCTCTACTTACTCAATCAGATTTCTCCAGTCACTAACACCAACAAGTAAAGAAGAAAGGAGTGTTGAATCTGCTTTCTTTTCTTTCTCACTCGTCGTTAGTAGACTGTCATCACTTCACCTTTTTTTGTGAACAGTTACACATTTTATGGGCCGTTTTTCTTTTATTAAACCTGTTTAACAGAAGAGTGGGCATAGAGGTTGATCTTGTATCTTTTCACCAATTAGAAACGCTTCGAATAAAAAGAGCTGCCTGTCATGTCAACGAAGATACTCTAATGAGCCAGGATACATTGATAGTAGTCGCTATAAAAGAACTACTTTTTATGCCCATTTCTCTGCGCTTAGATACACCGGTCCGGTCTATTATTGACTGAACCTCCTTCCTCTTTTTTTTTTCAGTCTCGTAATCTGCCATATGCATTGACAATATTTTGCAAAAAACAAAACCCACAAAAACCGAGAATTCCACTTCCAGTCGGGGATAAATATGATCACCCTTCAAGATAGGAAGCACGGAGACCCATGCAGGTGATATGGGGTCGGAAAAGTTGCAATTCATGGAGCAGAAGACGACAGTGTTTGCGTAAATGTGCTTGTAGGATTTTCCAGCTATACCTATACAGATACACATATGCATAGTTTTATACATACCTACAATACATGCATATATGCGCATAGACACATTTATACAAACACATCAATACGCGTACACAGACGGACATGTGTGTGCATGAGTCACAGAAAAGTTTTCGATCCACACCCGATTTCCAAAATCAGTATTTCAATGACCAAACATCAAAATTCAGATTTTGAGTAATTAGGCTCTCCGAGAATTTTTCAGCACCCCCGAATATATATAGGACTTATTATACACGTTCTATTATATATATATATATATATATATATATATATATATATATATATATATATAGAGAGAGAGAGAGAGAGAGAGAAAGAGAGACAGACAGACAGACAGACAGCCAGATATAGATATACATATACAGGGTGCGACGGATAAATTGTCATCTAAATTACGCAAAAATGAAAATAGCACCGACATCTTAACATTTTAACAGATATATTTACCAAAAATATCTTGAAATAAGAAAGAATTCAATAAAAACGCCATGGGTTTAACCACGACTTCAGAATCTCAAGGACAGCTTCTAGATGATTTCCTTGTTTAAGTTGGTTAAGCTGCCATAATCCTTGCCTTCAGTTCATCTTTGGTGTTACAAGGAGTTTTGCTGGTCTCTCGCTCAACTGCGCCCCACACATAATGACCAAGTTGATTGCAGTCTGGGGAGTTAGGTGGTCAGATGTAAGCGTTCTTTTCGTATCAGAACGATTAGAGTGAAATTTCCTAGTTGTCGTATCTTCGTCATCACCATTAGACTCATCCAAATTTTTCCGAATCCTCTCCACTGTCCTCTGATTGACACCGAAACACACTGATATATTCGTATTGGACATTCCGGCGCGAATGCCAAACAGTACAGCATACCGTTTTCAAATTTGTAATGGAGTGAATTGCGTGATGATGCTCTTTTTCTCACAGACGGTGCCTAATTAATCCTACTATTCTGTGCAGTCGACAAAAACAAAAGCAAACAAAGCGCCTGCGTGATATTAAAAATATGAAATGGTGACAATTTACTAATCGGACGCTGCATACACACACACACATATATATATAAAAGGGAACCTAGAAGTCAACACTTAGAGGCGACAGTCTGTTTCATGCTATATGCAATCGTCAGGCCACGAGTGTTGTTATTTTTTTCGGCTATTTATATATATATGGGTCAGTGGTGCATTGTAGGTAGTCTATTTTGGCGGTTATTTTACCGAAAGTCGTTTATTTGTTTATTCATTTATTTGGATTAAATTATTTTGCTTGTTTTTATTTATTTTTATTTTTTATTTTTATTTCTTTTCTTATATATATATATATTTATTTTTTATTAAAGTAGTAAAAATTTGTTTATATCGCTTATTTAATAGTTTTGTTTCTAAGTTTTTGATTGGTTGTTGTAGGCTGATGATCTTTTCCTTATTTTCCAAGATATTTTTGGTGCGATGTTCGTTTTGTTTTTAACGGAAATTGTTTACAAAACAACGTAATATACCAAGCCACGATAAAATCACCAGATAATGAAGAAAAAGTATATATAGGAGTAACTGAAGGACCCTGGAAACAAAGAAATTACACACATAAAACATCTTTCACAAATAGTAAATATGCGAACAGTACAATGCTTTCTAAGTATATCTGGGAAAGTAAAAACATGGCAAACTTGGAGGAAAAAATAGCTATCATTACTTTCCAAGACCAAAATAAATTATTGAATAAAAGATCCGAGCTCATCTCAAAATGCAGACATGAAAACAAATTTTTACTACGTTACTTAAAAATCGAAAACGGAAAAAATAAAATCAAAATAAATAAATAAATAACAATAAAATAAGCCAAATTAATTAGCCCAAACAAATTACCAAATCACATCTGTTAGAATAGACGAAATAGAATAATAATAATAAAAACAACGAACCCAAATAAATAAAGTAAATAATAAACAAATTAGCAAACCATTATGACCAAAATATTAGTTACACTATGAAAATCAAACCAAAAAATCGAACGAAAAAAATAGCTATAACTGTTATATAACGATAAAAAAAGAATACTACGTTACTTAAAAATCGAAAACCGAAAAGAGAAAATATACAAATAAATAATAACAAGTAAAATAAATTGACCTAAATTCATCCAAATAAACCAATCCCGATAAACTTACCGTTAGAAAAAACAAATAAAGATAATCAATCCAAATAAATACAAATTAAAAACTGTTCCCGCCAAAATAATAGTTAGAATAAACCAAAACAAAACTATTAAATAAGCGATATAAACAAATTTTTACAACTTTAATAAAAAAAAAATATATAAGATAAGAAATAAAAATAAAAAATAAAAATAAATAAAAACAAACAAAATAATTTAACCCAAATAAATGAATAAACAAATAAACGACTTCCAGTAAAATAACCGCCAAATTAGACTACACACAATGACCCGTATATATATAAATAGCCGAGAAAAATAACAGCACTCGTGGCCTGACGATTGCATATAGCATGAAACAGACTGTCGCCTCTAAGTGTTGACTTCTATGTTCACTTTTATATTTACACACGCTCTATCTCTGATATTAAGCACTTTATCTCATAAATATAGCACATCTTAAGACTATATTTCTTCATATATATATATATATATATATATATATATATATATATATATATATATATATATATATGGGAGGGCAGGGGATATGCACACATAAAGATAACATATTTTATCACTTACCCATTAATATTTACGCTGCATAATTTTCAAAATTCAAAATGGGTGTTTGTTGTCCTTAGAAGTCCCCGAGCTCTACACGTATTTTTCACGTTTTTCAAAAGGATTGTGTCAGCGTGTGCACACAGTTCGAAATAATTTAATTCCTTTTGTCTATTAATCTATTCATGTTTTGTATTCTATGATTTTTCCATCACTTCTCCACCCATAGACTGCAATTTCTTCCTCGTTTTCCACCATCTTTTTTTTAATTAGATCCCATTTTAATATTGGTGTTTTCTCCTTAAGTTTTACTTCTCATGCATGTTATTGCTTCATATTTGAATGATAGCAAATGGTTTGCATAACTTCCTTTAAATCTTTCTGAGTTGCTCCCATAATAAATCCTCTCTGCCCCTAACCCCTTCCTTATTGTCATTTATATAACATTTTTCTCCTACAATTTCCCTGTATTGGACATTTAGTTTTCTCTCTACAATTACATTGTTTTTTTAGTTTTTTTTAGGTTTTTTTTTTATATATTATCGCTATTTAGTATTTC